ATATATATATCTGTAACAGTATATATGTCTACATATGTATACAGATGCACAGTATACTGTTTTATATACTAGTCTGTGTGAATGACACTTCGTCTGCTTTATGAACTTTCAGCAAGCTCGTTAGGTAGTTAACGTGTATTATTTTAGGCCTCCCATTTTATCCGCCGAGTAAGCGCAAATTAAGATGGTACAGACCTGTTACTGCCTGGCCTAAGTTAGTAACTGACATTTCTCACTGGAAGATCCTAATAGGTGTTATTAGAGGGAATATTTCTTGTACACTGTACAGCGAAGCCGGCTCTCAGTTTATACAAGTACTTGTATAGATATTTGAACAACTTTTATCAAACAGCAATGAAAATCCAAGTTTCTCCACATTTCAACTAGGTGCTTGGCCGGGCAGTGATCCAAGTCTCGCATTGAATTGACTGATCATTAAAAAGTAGCTATGTTCGCCCGGAGGCATCCGGCCACATTATCGGTATCCACAAATCATTTCACCGAAAAGAAGCATGATAGTTTAATAGTTTATTTATTCCATACACTGTCGTAAACTGTAATAATTCTTGAAGAGAAAACAACGGCATCTTCAAACCAGGTCGTGTGGGTGGACAATCTGGCAGTCATAGAAGCGTGCCCAGTTTCCGCGGTAGTCCAGTCGGCACGTTATCGCGTTGTTAAAGTAGTTGGATTCGGCAACATAGAAATCAGGATTGTAGGATACCTTTGTTTAAAACAGAAAGTGCGGTTCATAAATAGTAAAATTATGGGAGGCCGAGTGACTTCCCATGTTAAAGGTTTACAAATAAAATCATACTTCAACAAGAGATCGAGGCCGTCCGGATTTAGCTGTAAAGTAAGGCTTTTGTTTGTAGAGCATATTTAAATTTTACACTATACTGTTCGCTCAGTAAGGGAGTCGACGATTTCCGCAATCAATCTTTCACGGATGTCTTTGAAGTCTTACTCTGAGTTTTTCGAGATTCCTTCACATTAATTAGTCATGAGCGTGCGATAGACCTGCATTTGTATCAGCTGAGATAAATACTTCATATCTAGTTGTGGAAGCGTCCATACAATAGCCGGTAGTGAAGTACCCCTATCTTCTGACCGCATGCGGCTTTTGAAGAAACCCACAGTAAGAATTTAAAGGAATGCGTAACTTACTAGGTCCATCAGTTCAAGCCGACCTACGTTTTAGACCAACCTGGTCGAGGGTCCACTGTTTCATACAAAAGAGCTACAGTGGAGCTTCGGTTAACGAATTTACTCCGTTACAGCACCGAGCTCGTCATGTGAAACTTTTATCTTGCGAAACGCAGCCAATTAAACTGCGTCAGTTCACTGATTGGCCACAGGTAACCGAGGACCCACGGCCTGGGTACAAGATTCAACGACAGGCACACACACGCACTGACAGCTCGCCAACTGAACGGAAGCTCGTCAGTCGAGACAAATTTTGGCTAGCAGTTAGCTCATTACCTGAAAATGCTCGTAGATAGGGCTTTTCGTCATCCGAGGTTCCCAGATAAGCGCTTTTATTTCACGAAAAGTAGCCATTGGGAAGGAGCCTGCAAGAACAGCCGTTTTTCCCCAAATATGTCCTCTCCTGGCTGCCGCAAGCAATCACTGTTACTTTGATGGACCTATTTAACTAGGTCACCGGGGTATTCTGCGCAAAGTTCAGCCGCAACTTTTTATGTGATGTTATCTCACTATAGTGACTAATTGTGTATCAGGCATATATTACGGCCATATTGTCCTCCTTTTTGACTTCGTGAGTGTAAAGGGCAGTCTGAAGTTTACCAGTTAATACAAAGACATCACTGCTTGCATTCCTACCATGTTATGGTAAAGGACAAACTACACATACCGCGCGTGCGGTGCGGTTTATGCTGCCCTTTGGTAATGTAGATTTGTCTTTTTACTAAATCATGATCTATTTTTCCAGCACTGTGCTAAGAAGGGTCTGCCGATTTCCACTTACTTACGCCACTGTTATTTAAGGCAAATGATTTTGGGTCAGGTCTCCTGATCGTTTCACTTGTGCTTCCTATCGGCATCGATCCGGATAGCAGAGGCGACAACGTAGCACAATTGTTGACTCTTGTGACAAAACAGGCGGTACTGACACCGATCCCCTATCCCAGTGATGGCTTTCGTTTATCCAGAATCTCGGTCTCCTCAACTATCGTCAGCAGCAGACT